GGTTCGAAACTTATTATTGAAGATAATGGGAAAATTGTACAAGCAGCTAATGGTTGTACAACACAAAGTGTTAGAGCTAAGGTGGTATTTGAAGATAAAGGTATTTATGAATGGGATGTTATTATTGAAAAATATTGTAAACATTCTTGGGTTGGTGTGTGTGCATCAGATGTTATTAATTTTGATACTGCTACCGCAGATTATCATTTTGGGTGGGTTTTAGTTTCCAATGGTTCGACGTGTCATCACTTTCAAACGAAACATAATTATTGTCCTGTATTTAATAGAAATAATATGAAAATAACTGTTCATTTAGATATGAATAAAAGGACTTGTTCATTTACGGTCAATGGAGTTAAATATCCACCAGTATCAACTTGGAATGATCTACCATCAAGACTTTACCCTGTAGTTTCATTAAAACATCCTGGTCGGTTTCGAATTCAATTTCATTGAAATTTGTAATTAAGAATATTTTCAATTATAATAAAATTTTTGTTGAATTTTTGGTTAAAATGATAATGATAGTGTTGATCATGTTTAGTTTTTTTTTATTTCTATGATTAATTATTTAAATAATCTCACTTATGATTTAGTCGACTTTTAATAATTACTTATTTGATATTCTTCGTTATATATGCACCTTTTCTTCGAAAGGATGGTTTAAAAATTGCAATTATCACGTTCCTATTTTTAGAATTGGGATTTTCAAACGATAGGTTTCATTAATGAATTACTCTAAGTTATCCAATAACTTATATAGGGAAAGTATAGGCTGTTATAATACATTATACATACCTCGAATGATTAAAACTTTTTTTTGAGTATTCGACTTTAAATTATTGGATACTGAGACTCATTTTCATTTCGACACAAAGATCTGAAATAACTTTAAATTAGGCGTAAATAGTGCTTTCAAAACAATTTATTTCGGAAATTGACATCTAACAAGCTGCACTGCGACTGCAGGTCGTTATTATGCTATGCTTATAAAAATTAATTAATTATGAAAAGTAAATTTAAATGAAGTCATATATAGTAGAGTCAACAATGTAAATCAATGTAAAAAAATACATGATTGGAAACGAGTAAGAATTTTCTAATGTAATTCCAACTAATGCATATTTTTGATATTTTACTTATGTAGCAACAAGTCAATATACTAAAAGTATCATACGAGAAATTGGATAATTAAATACAGGTTTATTTAGAGGAAGCGCCTCGTACCAATTTTCTGTAATGCAGATGAAAATAATTTCTTTCACGTTAGTTTAAATGACATAATGATCAAAGACAACGGGAATCTTGGTTTACAGTATATGAATAATTCTAATTTGGATGAATAATTTTATAAAAGTTTCATGTGAAGTTTATGAATTGAATTTCTGGAACCATTTACAATTATGTCAAGGTGTTTAGTTTCACTTAAAATGTAATATGCCTATTTAAATTTCATTTCCATGACATGAAATGTCTTGAATTACTATTGCTATATGAAAAGGCAGATTATATCAAAATTCACCGGATCATCTTTATAAGCTTTTGAATTATAACTCATTTTTAAGGTAACAAATAATCAATTTGAATATATAATAACATTTTATATAACTAAATTAAATTAATTCTTCGTGGGGATTAACGTAAAAAAAAGTGAAAAGATTTGCTGATAATTATAAAACATCCCTTAAGATTATCACTAAGAAAAATCTCTTATTTCTTTATTGATATGATTCCTATTTGATGATTTATAAAGAACGAGTGGCAAAAAATTCTGATAAGTTAGAGAATTATATAATGTATAATAAAAAAATTATTTAACCATAAAATATAGTCAGATAATATATCTTTAACCGAACTAGAAGATAATACAGAAATATATATTACAAAAAATATAAATGTTAAAATAATTATTCATTCATTAACTCCGATAGAATATCCACCAACAAGTGAAGAAGGCACTGCTATAATTTACCATGTTGAAGGATGGAAAAATACAGAAATGGTATTTATAATTAAAACAATACTAATAATTGTTAATATTTAAAGATTTAATATTCTATGGGTTTACCTTCCGGTCAAAATAAAACAACTTGTATTTATCTTAGTGATATTGCTGTAATTAAAAAAGATAGGACTTGTCATGGAGTTAAAATGTGCGAATTTGCAGATCCAAAACTTTGGAAAATGAAACATAAGTCAGTAATCCAGAATCAGATTTAAGATTAAAAATGAATGAAGAATTATCAACTGATAACGTGAAAAATAATACTTTTGCATAAATATTTGCATAATATATCTATTATGCATAATAGCGATCATTTTTATAAAATCTACTAATTAATTTTATTTTAATAAATATTTAGCTGCATATAAAACTGAATATTGATATATACAAAATAGAATTCAATATACAGGCAAACCTATATTAAATATTTACAACATCATGATCTGATCAAACAGTATCACCATCATATATTATTAGTTATACCAGATGGAAGATAAATGAAAGATTTCACCAATTTATTAGTATTAAAAAAAATATAGACCTGAATTTGCTTTAGCAACTTTTAGACAGATTATATGAGGTTAAATATAGCTATTTTAAATATTAAATTAATATTTTTATTTATTTATCTAAATTAATTTAAAAATATTTTAGGGGAATCAGATGAACTGGTGAATAACTGTTTCGCAGTATTTAGCAATAATACAAAGAGAGCATATTGTTGTAAGTTATTTAATCTTAATATATAATTTTTAAATTCTTATTGCTAAATTACTTAATTTATATAAAATATATATTGGCAGTATATTCTCATCATTCTGGAAATATCATTAAGTAAGAATCACTTATAAAAAAGTCAATTGGAGTTAAATATTCTAAATTAATTCCTATTGATCTTAAAAAATGTTTATATATAATTCTTATATCAAAAGGAATTCATACTCATCTACTACTACCTTTAAATCAAATACCTAGTATCATTCATACATGCTTATAAGAATTAATTTATTAAGCAAATAATGATAATGCAAATGTTACTTCAACTCATATTATTACAGGTAAATAATTAAAAAAAAAAACATATTTATATTTATTTATTATATTAGATTTTTTATTTAAACATTTCTTGGATTTATACTAAATGAAATTTATTTTATTTAATAGGAAATTTAATTAAAACATATTTTAGAGTTGAATATCTTTCTGATGTATATGTATCTTTAAATAATACTGATCGTCTTTAGTATTATTAATAAAATTCAAAAAAAAATTAATCTACAAGAACATGAATTACTTGAAGTTATTTATAACTATTCGCTTAATATTAATAATTTTCATGATTATGTAAAACATTTAGGTAATATTAAAAATAAAATTTACATTTTGTATTTATTTTATTTACAGCTAATTTCAAAAGTCACAGGATGGATGATCATTTTGCAAATAGATAAAAAAAACTCAGTAAACTTAGTATAGAATTTTTTGAAGAAAAAACATTATCACTACATTCAAATCATTGTTCTGAATATAGCTACATAATTTTTTTACTTATATAAAACTGCAATTGACTTTTTAAATCCTTATAAATATTTTCAGAAAAGTTTAAGTTATTATCGGCTATTCTGTGACTTATAAAATTAGCTGTAATGGTAATTTAAATAAATAATATATTTATTATTAGAATTCTTTAAAAACAAATATATATTAATTGTTTATACAACTTTTAAACAATTAACTGAGTAAACTAATGCAAGTATTTTTAAATTTATTTATCTTTTAAATGCGTATTAGGTGAAATAAATGAATTTGAAGTTAATTAATATAATAATAAACATAATCTAAGTAAGTTTTTTATTGTATAATAAAAATTAGTATTATATATAATTTAAAATTATATGAATATTAATTGATATTTATTTTAGTTTTTACATTTGCCTATATTTTTACAAATTGTGCAACTACAGTTGCATATTAAAGAATTTTTCATGTATTATTTGATCTTGTATTTTAATTAACAGGTTTATCCTCCTTAATTTGAATATATTAATGGATTCAGCTGAAATTGTATTATTGCAGATTTGGATTATACACAAGCTAAAAAACTTAAATTAGTTTTAAATAAAATCGATAATACAAAGAATTGGGAGTAGCACTTGGTTCATATTTTTAAATCATGTCTTATTCATCATAAAAGATAAATTATTTATAAATAAATTTTATTTAAATAAAACTTAATTTATTTAATATTAATATTTAAAAAAATTCAAGAAATGGGATTTAATGATATTATAAAAAATAAAATATTCATGCTTCTTATAACTAAATCAGAAAATGCTGTTAATTAATTATTTGATAATATTCAAGTAATTAAAGAAAGTGCAGCAGGCTAGTAAAAATTAATTAAATAAATTTTATTATAATATTAAATGGCATTATTATTATTTTAAATTGGATTATATTCTATCGTTAAAAATAGGTTATCATATCACTTAATAAATATATGTTAAAAATTGCTAAAAATGTTTGGATAACATCATCTAAAAATATAAATGTTGCAGAAGCAGCTTATGCATTTATGCAATCATCATGAAAGAAATCTTAAATTATTAACTGCTATCTTATAGTATATAAATTTTTTATTTTATCTCTTTTATTTAAAAAAATTATTTATATTAATTTATTATAGAGGATAAAAATTAGATAAAGAAAGATTTACTACCATTCATGTTCATAAAAAATATAATATACCTAATTGAAGATGTGATAAAGGTTTAATTTTGTGTAATGTTATGTCTAATAAATGTAATGATAAGTTGATTTCAAGTTATAATGATAATATTAAATAATATTACTATAATAAATATTAAATTATTAACTTTATGTTCTAATTAAAAATTTAGCTAATGCAAAAATTAAAGTCAAACAATACGAAGTTAATTTCTATAAATATAAATATACAGGTTCTAATAAAAAATTAAAACAGATATTGAAGAAGATGGTAAAGAAAATTTATACAAATTCTAACAAAACTATTAAAAAAAGTAGTGTTGAAGAAGATAATGATAAAGATTGTGAATTAAATTTAAAACTCAGTGAACTTAAATATAAAAAATGAACTTTAGCTTTAAAAGAACATGAACTTAATCTAAGAGAAAGAGAAGCAAAAATTCATGAAATGGAGTCATTAATTACTAAAAAGGAACATGATCTAAAATCTACAAAATAGTTGTATATAATGATATTACATTTTAGTTAAATTAGCTGAAGTAATAACAGATTATTACTATTTTGAAAAATAGAAAATTTTACAAATAAAATAATATCAATATTGTGTATTAAATTTAATTTATTTATTATTATTTTGCTTTTAAAGTAATATTAACAAAAATTATTATTAAAAAATTAAAGTTTAAGTTACAATTCTTTAATATTAAATTAAATTATTTTAGTATAAATATCTAGCAAAATTATAATTATAAATTACATAAAAGCAATTGAGTATGAATATAAAATTTATAAATCATACTTAAATGTTAATAATATATATTAACTAAGATAAGGTGTAGTGTATAATCAATCATATCATACTTAACATAATTTTTGCATCATACAATACTCAATAAGTTGATTTGACTCTACAACTTTTTATATACCAGTATATCATACATACTTTACTATACATACATACAGACTATACCATACTTATTTTCATAATTATTACCAACTTTAGGAATAAAAGCATTTTAAATAAAATGAAACTAAATAGTAATTAGCATTCATCTTAAAATATTATCAGGATCACAATTATTTATCAGTTCTAATATTATGCTAGCCAACTTTCAACTTTAAGATATACAATTATATATAAATTATATATAAATTATGTATAAAATATATTGATAAAATGTATATAATATATATAATTTTGCATATATAAATTACATATATAATATACTTAATTTTCGTATTTTTATATATTTGTAATTCTATTCTATCCTTTTTTTTATTTAATAATTATGAATATATTATAAGTTATTTATAAATATTAAAAATATATTATTCTATATATATTTCTGTATATAAATTTCTCATAAAAATTTCTGGATCTTGGATTACTTGTTATCACTGAATTCAGATATATATGTATTTGCAATTTATATTACATTTATATCTGCATTTGATATTATATTTACTATAATTAGTAATATATTAGTATTTGCTATTAATGTTTATTAATATTGTATCTGCTGTTTTTAGTACTATATTTGTATCTGAAATTAAAATTATATTTTTTACAGTTGTTATATTAAATGATGATATTTTAGATAAGAAAAAATATTCTATATCTATAATTTTAACTGATTCTTCTTATACTTTATTTTTCTTTTTATCTAGATGATTAAAATTTATTATGACATTAAAATACAAAAAAATTAAATTCTTCAGAAAAGTTTATGTTATATTCATAATATTTATTTTTACATGTTAACTCATTTAATTACTATAGATTTTTTATTAGATTTATTAAAATTAAAGTGCAAGTTTAATATTTTCTTAGATGATCTTTCTTATTTCTAGCATTTCTTTTTTCTGCATTTATATAAAAGTAAGAATATATGCTAAAAATTTATGTTATCTTTATTAATTATATTTGTAATAATGGAAGATATTAAATATTATTGCTAAGTAGTAAATAAATTGTGTTCATATCAAAATTTAACACTTTATTTTGTGTTAATTATTATATAATATTGTTTATACAATATTTTTGATAATTGATATATATAATAATAAAATATCGCTTGTATAACATTAGAAAATATATGTAATATAAGTATATTCAGTATACAGTCGACCCTCTCTAAAATCACACCCTTCAGGATCGCCTTATGGTGTGATTGTATAGAGGTGTGCTTATATACGATTATGTAATTAAATACCGGTATTAATGTATTTATTTTATTACATCTATTATATCTATAGTTTATCTATAGTTTATCATTATTTTATTCATTATTTCGACACTTTATTTTATTTTTTTTTTTTTTTTGATTTTTCGACACTTTGGCTGGATCCAAGTTGCAAGGTAGGTGGTTCGTTTCTTTTCTTCTTTGCTTTGTTCTCCTTTCGCTTGGTTGTTAATTAACCAATTTCTTCTTTTTTTTTTAGATCTTTGGGCTCTTCGGCTGGATCCA